AACATTTACTACATCATTTGTTCTGCCTTAGGTGCTTTATATCAAAAAGTTTCTGTACAATGAACTTAAGTGAGCACCAATAAATGCCATGTGGCGCAGCCAGAGACTCATGGGCAGAGGGTCAGAAGATGCCTGGGACCCCTCTTTTCTTGCCATCCTGTGGAGTGGCTAAGACAGATGCGGGTGGGAAAATCTAGAGACCACCTCTTATTTATTCCTTCCTTTGAAAAGAAAAGCATGAAGGCAGCATTATAGTTGGGGGTAAATCATTTGGGTTTGGGTGCCATGCAGCCGGAGTTTAGATGCCAAGAACCTAAGGGAATACTGCAAACTTCAGTTTTGTAGCACTTGAAGACCCTAGGAGAAGTTGAGATCATTCACAGGCCTACTATTGAGGGGAAGGGAGGCACTTAGTCCTGGCCAGCTCAAAAGAGCCTGGGGATCATTCAACAGACAGTCTTGCTTATTTCTTCGCACTAACATTTACTACTTACCAGGCATGGTACCATGTGATTTGTATGTATTATCTCATATCATACTCATAAGAACTTTATGAGGTAAATATTATTATGCTTATTGTCATTTTACAGTTCAGCAAACTGAAGTAGAGTGCTTTATCATTTTTTCCACTATATAATACTGTTTGTCAGAACTGGGTATATTATAAAAAGTATGGAAAGGCTGATTAAAAGAATAACAGGCATGAAGGGTCAAGGTCTAGGGTTACTATTGGAATAGTAACTTTGGGAAAGCAGAGGTGTCAATAAATTTAATAGACATGGTAAATGTTAATCTTCTCAATATCACACAGCTGTTAGGTGGGGAAAGTATCAGGACTAGAGAGAGAAGAGTGAAGGGCTTACTTTGTTTACACAATTTAAGAGACCTCCAAAAAAACTCCGTAATTAAAATAGATAATATCTCAATGCAGTATTTAAAACCTCAAAAATAATGCAAAAACATGTGATGAAGAAAATATCAAAATTTTAAATCAAGACAGGACTATTATTAATGGTTCCTCCTTTTGTCTCTGGATCCTGAACTTGAATGCTACCAGTCTGAACTCAGAGCCCACGCTTGTAAGCATTATTTGCTGATGTTTCCCAGTATATGAAAGATAAAGAAGAGTCAGATATAACTTACATAATGTAAGGCTGACGGTCAAAGATAATAGTGAAAAAATGGCTTGATTCTTCAGGAGGAAAGCACGGAAAATAACTCATTTAATTTCCCTTGCATAGTCCCATTTATTAATAGAAACTTAAGTATGTGTATAGTTTGGCTTCAAACAGAGAGTGCAAATAAAAATCTTATTTAACTTTAAACTTTTCTTGGCCTCTCTTACTTCTCTTGTATTCTTTCACCAGTGCCAAGAATCCAATTATTGACTACAGGTAACCTAAAGCTGTTTCTCTGCATTTAGTGGTGTATTTTTCCATGAGAAATATAAGATACAATTAAGACTGATTTGAACACTGAGAAATATTTCTTATCTCATATTACAGAAGCACTGATG